TAAGATTTTACTTTACGAGGACATTATTCAACTCAACGACAAAAAGCTCACTCTCTGTATCGCCAGGTATTGGACAGAGAATTTATTTAAACGAAGCTCTCATGGAATATCGCACAAGTTTTCAGTGACTTACCTCATGACACAGGTCAGCTATTTGTTCAACAATCGTCGACAGGCGTCCAAGCGCAAGACCGTTTCGACCCGGTTTTGTCACCACTGCACTACCCAATTTGATCACTATCCTTTTGGCGTCTTTTAATTCATTCCGCGTACTGAGGAAATAAAACCTAACTTGCGAGTGAGTACAGGACCGTAGCTGCTGAAGGCGTCCGATAAAGCTGAGAACATTCTGGGGATTAGGGTTGTTGTGCAAAAATTTTCGAAGCGAGTGCGCCACATGAAACATGACCGCAGGATAAATGACCATAGATCTTATTAAATGTTGTTTATAGGTTCGGCACAAATATATTGTCTAATATTGTCATTTCAAGGTCAATCATTCAAACAAACATCCTGTAAACCTAGATGTCATGCGTGAGCCAGTTTGTTGTCATCTTACCGGCCAGCCAATGATGATGCCGACGTTGAACTTTGTGTGTGCAGGTTTCACATCAGTGCATGGTTAGTAAGCAGAGCTGCGCGTGTTCAAATTCTCATCGCTAATGCGTGATCCTGGCATTTCCCTTCAGAAGCTCATGGGAGTTGTGATAGATTAGGATACACTCATCACTACATGTAATGCGTGCCCTTAATTAGTATTAGAGATAGCCAGTCATCTTTCCTTCAAAAGGTAATCAGAGTTTGTTAGCGGGCCAGATTTTGCATCTGTAAATTATTCAAGGACTCATCGGGGCGGAAGTGACCAAGCCTATTGAAAACCTGTGTACAGTACACGAAATCACGTGAAAAAATACCATGAGATAACTTCACCAGGGAAAACCTTGGGAGGATATGGTGTTTAACTTACTGGAATAATAGAATGGAGCCTTTATAGGAGGAAGAAGATCATGCAACAACGCACAGCTTCAGAATTTGGTACGCGAATCAGTAACAATTTTGGCCATACCAAAATCTTTACATACTTTGGGATTCACCTCATCAGATTGGAACTGTTCTTGGCATGAGTTCGAATGAGACGTTTGTCTCTTTTCTCTCATATTCTCCTGTTACACTCGCATTCTTCGCTTGCATTCACATTTTATGTTTGTGACCATGCTCTTCAAAAATAAATGATAATTTTAGATGAAACATTAATTGGCTACATTCACGCCGGCGTAACAAGAGGAACTAGCACGGTACAATTAGAGGCGCTTGAGATGTTTGGGTTTCAACTGTACGTGTACCCAGCGATGAGCACCGGAATTCTGCCACAATGTAGTCAGTATACATTCCAATGGTTAGACGGTTGAGGACAAAACATTTTATCCAAACATCATCCTCGGCTTTATGAAGTCCCAGCTTTTTGGATCATAGACGGAAACTTAACACGTATTACCTGGGACAAATATCTTAGTCACCTCTTCAATCATTCTCCAGAGTCTTCCAATGCCGCGATCACTACTCACAGGTTCTTTAGTTGTCACTTAGCCATTTTCACGTCGACCATGATTAGAGAATATTTCAGACATGAAGGACACTATATAAATTTTGTAATGGCGCACGTTCTCGTGCGTTTAATGCACGGAAAGTGGTTGCGAAATTGGTTTCTGTCAAAAAGTCAGACAGAGGGTTAGTATTTTATTCAGTTTTGGTCAGGAATACATCTTGTCATATTTCAGACATATTAAATATTTGTTTCTCTTTCTTACAGTGGCATAAGTAGGCTGAATGGGATATTCGCACGGAGGAGTGAGTCTTCTGTCACGTATTTCAGCAAAGCTCAAAGGTATCTACCTTGACACGAATTAAGTGTGCAATATCCAACAATATGAGTATGGATTCCAGTTGATATACACGTTTGATCAAACTTCGGGACCAGCATGGCACGCTAATCGGCAGTAGCCTGTTGGTATGTTTTAGCCAAGATTACCAAAAATAATCATGCTATACAGAATATAAATGTATCCGAAAGTTGCCCATTGTCACCTCCAACCAGTGAACTTTTTGGCAACATCTTTCGAACGGAATAGTAAACCTATACTCAAGCTATACAGAATATAAATGTATCCAAAAGTTGCCCATTGTCACATCCAACCAGTGAACTTTTTAGCAACATCTTTCGAACGGAATAGTAAACCTCGAACGATACTGCTGTGCTGGTATCTTGTCTCCTCTCTGCAGCTTGTAAAAAAACTCCGCTGGTCACAGCTTACTACACGCAATTGTTCTCTGATGGTTAATAACTCCCAAATCTTACAAACGCGAAACTCCTTGCAGAAGTTTCAGGAAAAATAACCGTTTTTCCTTTCAAAAGGCATAAATACACTAGCCGTTTCAGTTTCATATATTCACAGAAAAGTGAAATCTATGCCATTTTATTTGTGTCATGTCCTTTTTTAACTCTTCTAATCACGTGCGAAGTTTTTGAAATTTGCAGACATGGATGTGCTCCTTGCCAAATTTTTGATTTAGCGCTTGGCGGTAGACCTACAGCTAAATTAGTGTATGTTCACTTGTCCCAAACCTTACTAATGAAGTTACGCTTATTTACTCAAATTTTTATATTTTAGCGGATTTAGACAGTCCCCTTATTACATTATGAAAGTCTTGCCCACTAAATTACAGCAGTGAAACAATCTAGCTTCAGGAAATTTTGTTTATTATTTGTTCGATGAGACTGCTGTTAAGTGGCTGTCGAACGTTTTCGGAAACCTTGTATAAACCGCGTTACGTCCACGAAACAAACCGCGGTAAATCTGATATTGAACCAGTTGAGGCATGAATTGTTCTTTCGAAGCACATTCAGTCAAAAAATATGGCAAGTAAGTGTGAGTGTATTTCACTATCGTTCATCATTTTCCGGTGCTTTGTTTTATGGAAGTCCCAAAAGCCTTTTGGCCAACGACCCTCGGACTTAAATCTGAACGCCACAGTTGTGATTCACTGATTCTGAGCATCACGTATTATATCACTTTTTGGAAAACCTAATACGACTACTATAATATATTACCTTGGCCACTTCAAACTATGCTGCTTCTAAGTTTTCTGCTGCCTGTTTTGGTTGATTTATACACCGGAAATTAACAGAATAATGACCCACACCATAACACTGGTTCATTGACTGGCCAACCTAGGTGGCGCGTCATGCTCAAAGCATGTTAGTACTTCTATTGTCTGCATTTCAAGTGCAAACTGAGCACCTTTGTAGGATCTTCTAGTTCCAATACTGTGATTTTCTTTTTTGAGCCAAATGTTCAATAAAAATTTTACGTCTTTGTAATGTGCTTGGGCAAGGCTGTACCAAATGGCGGTTTGAGCTATGCATGGTATGTGGTTCTGTCTGGTAGTACGTTGTAAGGAAATTTCTAACAGAAGAAAGCTTGGTTTCAACTTTTACGTTTGCGGCCACAGTTCAAGCACTTAGTTGCTAATTTTGTTCCCGCCGGACCTATAGCTAATGTTTTGAATACGCAGATTTTTTCGTATGACTGAAGTTTTTATCTCTATTTCACTCCACTAATTCAAACCTGCATGCCATACATTGTAATCAAGGATTCGCCATTATGTCAAACATTATCGTTTTGAAAAAGTTGGGACAAGGTGCAAAAATCCCAAACCTGTGATGGAAAAACTGCCAGTTTTACAGAAACATTTATGCCTTCAGTGTTTCTTTTCAGTTTCTTTTCCAGTTGCGTTTAGTGAATAAACCTTATATAACTATTTGCATGATGTTCAATTTTTATTGCTTTCAAGAAGAGAGAATAGTAGAGGTAAGCAGATTTAAAAATGATATCCAACCGCTGATATCACAATTTATATGCTACTTAACTGTCTCAATTAATGAAATTTTTATGAATCATAGATTGAAATTTCATCTCCTTAGTAGCACCAACCTCTGCTAGAAAGCCAAGAAGCACTGTACATCCCTAAAAATGTACAACTCAGATCGAGATTTCACTCATTTCTCCAAATCATTTTTCTTGTGAGCCACTTATAGTTTGACGTTAGCGTGAGGGGATTTTGCAACTTTCCACCGATACTGCGTTCTCTCGGTAATCACCAATCACCTGAGTATTCTTAAGAATTTTACTGACCAAAGAGAGTTGACTTGATGGATCGATTGAGACCGGTAGTACTGTTCTGTCGTCTAACTCAAACTCAACCATCTGACTTTGTGGCGCTATGTGTGGTGTCTTTGAATTAACTGAATCGTAACTTTGTGTTGGTTGTCTGAAAAACCCCAGCCACCAAAGATGCTGCACTCTAACCGTGCTGAACAGCGGAATCCATAATTAGGATCGGTGGATAATGGAATGGCAGTTTCAGGGTATTAATATATCTCACTCATTTTTGATGTGATTTAAGAACGGGGGAATTTTTTTTTGCTTTTTATTTAATACTTATAATTAGTAGAATGTATTTAATGTACTTGATGGAATTTGACATTTTAATTAAGAAATTCAAATAGCCAAAGTCATTAATGAAATCAAACCAGACTTTTCTATAGGATACACCTACATTGAAATCAGATGCCGAAATTGCTTTGTGTCTAACAGATTCACTAAAACGTAATCCAAATCTATTGATTTTCGCCGTTTTGTTTGCAAAACCACAAGGTTTGGCAAAGACAACATAACCAAAATTTATGCTGCCAGAGTAAATATCGGCACAATGAGCACAGGTATTTTGCAACAGCAAAGTGAATTAATGTTGACAGACACTTTGTCTGTGACGACCCTAAATGCACGTGGACCTAATCCAAAGAAGGATCTGATGGTTAGTTCCCATTTTGTGTTGTATATGCCAAAACAACAACAGTGTCATGCGGAACCAAAATAGTTCCATAGTTTTTGTTTTATTGTTGCAGAGAACCAAAGCTATTGATAAACAGAGAATTCAAACCAAGCATTCTAAACATGCAGGTAGAAGGATAGCTAAACAAACCACGTTGTTTAAACTAAACAATTTCCCCTTCTGGTGACTAAAATTGTGCTCAAAATTTAAACGGACTAACTTTTCTTACAGCATATCGAGCCATGATCCACATCCGCTTTGCAAGCACACTCTTTTGCAACGGTAATTTAGTCGATCCAGTTATGTAGTTGTGCTTTCTGAATAAATAAATAAATAAAAACGCCTCTGTATTGTTAGGTGGACAAGTCAGTGGCTACTGGCACACATGTATGCCCAGTTTTTAGCTTTTCTAGTAGCTGAAGTATAATATGTTTGCCTCTTGGGCGGATGTTGTTCTGATGGGGCTTTTTTATGAGAAAACTACAGTGATAAAATTATCTAGTCAAGATTAGTATTTCATGATGCTGGTTCTTG